AACTACGGCGCGACGTTTCGGATTGCAGTAGCCGTGGTCACGGAGTGGGTCTCCCTGTGACCGTGGCTGCAAATAAGTTTAAATAATATATAAACTGTTAAACAGTAGTCTATACATCCCACCAAACCGCACTGGATGCACTGGTGGGTCTCAACTTTGTCCTATGAGATAAAATAACTTGAAATGAACACTAGGTACTATGAATCCATTTATAGGCTTTCGTGTGATATACAAATATGAATGTAGTTAATAAGTTCTATAAATTAACAAAAGTGAACATAAACTAAATAAAATAAAATAAAAAAAAATATCCTTTTTACTCCCCTAATAGGCGTGAGTGACGTCACGGGACCAGGGCAGCATAAGCGCGAAGCCAGCGTATGGAAAGACGCCGCACCACGCCCACTGACTCCGCCCCTAACCCTTCAAGCTTATAAGTTCGTACGCGAGCTTTTAAAAAAATAATTATTTCGATTCCCATCGGATTTACCATGTTATTAAATTAATTTATAATGGAGGAATAGGTACAGAAATTCTGTCCGCGTCGTCCACCATCGTTTTATAAAGAAGCCTTGAAGTTATCATTTTTCGCTATCAGTCTGTACATTTCCGAAGGTCCAAAGATAAAATCGGTCGACAGCACATTTCATGAACTTGATAACTGTCGGTTCTCTGCAAAAAAAAAAATTAAGTAGCACAATGGCCTAAGTGATATTGCTGTTTAAAAGATTTGGTTGTCTCAAAGGACTGGTACCTTAGCTTATTGATCTCGATGACAAAAAAGGGGGGGGGGGGCATTGTACCTAAATGGTCAACAAAATAAAATATCCACGACAGTATATCTTTAAAGATTAACTAGCAAAAATGGCGGGACGCGGACAAGTAACTATTCTACGAAGACGAAGTCGCGGCCACAGCTAGTTCGTTGTATGTGAAACACGCACAAATCCTTGTTTGCAATACGTAACTATACGTAACTCGTTGTTTGTGCTGTGTTCGTCAGCTCGTCGTTTGGATTTTTCGTAGGTAGTAGCTTCGGCCCACGTTATTATTGTATTAGTGCCCAATCTAAGCTAAAATATTATAAAGCTAAATACTTTCTTTGTTTAATAACGCTCATCTCAAGAACTGCTGCTTCGAATTGAATAATTCTTATTGTGTTGCTTAGACCGTTTATAGATAAAGTTTTAAAACTATAAAACATCAGGCTTCGACCAATAAGAAAACAGCGCGAAAATGGTAATGCGGGAAAAATTATTTGTCTTTCACGCTTTCCGCTGCGTGCGCTTTGTAAACGGTTCCAGATACCCACAAAGTACGTAAGACAGAATTGTGGTGCTTTAAATAATCTACTATAATGTTGCTGACAGTATATGTCTATCTTTTAAGATTACCTCATAAAGTTTTTATGGTAACCAATTTTCGTCGAAATAGGTACTTCATATGGCAAAAAAAACCTTTGTACCTATTGTTCAACACTAGCTGATATGTTGAGTTTAACTAATATATATCGCATTTTATACCGTTAAAGTATTTTAATTAAATAATAAAATTCTACTGAAGCTTCGTCTTTGGGAGTTTTAAGTACGAATGACGATACAGGATAAAAATTGCATATATGCCCCTCCCCCCTTCTTCTTAGACCTGAAGGTGAGCTTTCGTTGTTTAATTCTGGCCTCGACAGCTACTTAGCAATTTTTGCCCTTTCATTTCAGTTTATTTCTACATCTTTCTTGACTTAAGCCTAAAGTACACTGTTTAATAACTTACTCATTCATAAGCTTATATGCTTATCCTTCTATTATTATTGAGTAGCCATTATTGTAGTTACTTCGAATCATTGAAGAGTAGGTAAACGTTGGATTGATCACTAGTTACCGCAGACTAATAGTAAGCTATGCATTGTGTTATATGCGGCCCACAGCACGAATAGGAGACCACAGCCTTACCTAAATTACCACAATCATTGTCAATAGGTAATGAATGTGCATGAATTTATCAAACAGTCAAGGTAAGATCGATGTTTACGCGCGTGCGTCGCGCCGCACCCACGTGGAGCTCTCAACAGATGGCGCCAGTGCGCATGCGCCGTTTTATTGAGCGCACACAGTCACGTGACACGCACACAACTGCGCGTGACATAAATCATACGTGTCCGCTCTTACCATACGGCTTCGAATTACCTTTCGTAATGACGCAAGACTCTTAATTCTACGCTGTTTTCAACCTTTAATTCCCGCAATAGAGTCCAGTTTCGCTTGACGATGCTATCGAAGTGCTTGAACCAAATGGCCCGACTGCCGACGTCAATTACAGACTTCATCTGGCCAGTTCGACTTCAATGTTTCGCTGGAATTAAACATGATTTATTTAGGTAGATAAGATCGTGAGTATAAAAAGTACTCGATACACTTAACGTTTTTATCTTGACGGAGCGAAAACGTTGTTTTGGACAGGTTTTTTGATGTAGTTAGAGGATTGAGTTGGTATAATTGGGTGAAATAAAACATTCTAAACTAATGGTCACGGGGGACTACGAAAAAGCAGCATATGGTGTCTTTACTTGTGGTTTAAGTCAACATAAATAATTATATTGTTTAAAATGTTTCATTTCATATAGGTATCCCGCGTAAACTACAGATATAACTCTCTATTGTAATTCAAATGCTTTGTGTTGTAACATAAGAATTGTATTGTTCTATAATACAACAACACATTACAGCAAAAAGCAAATAACGAAATAACAACCGAAGAAGCTAAAGTAATAAATTATATTATGGTAAGCAATATATAATTATATGAGAGAACGAATTTACCTATTTCTTTTTTACTTTTATTACTTACAGATTATTTACAATGTTATTGCATAATAACTTTCCCCCTTTTTTAGATTCGGGTATTAATCAGGTATGTAACGGGCGATCCTGGGTTTCCAGACAACTAGGGAGTTCGTATCAGTCTGTTCGCTCGTAATTGTCTCCCCGTGACTACGGCTGCTGCAAAGCATCCGAAACAACGGTTAAAAATCATTTCCAAATAAGTTTAACTAATATATCGCGTTTTAAACCGTTAAAGTGTTTTATTTAAATATGTACTACTCGCGTAAACTATAGACGCTAATAATTAGTTAATTAACCACCCGTTAAAACGTTTGTTAAATACTAACGGTCGGTAAGTGGGGCATAGTTACCAATTTAATCTTAGTTAACAATGACTTACCGATTTTAGTCAATTTAACCAAATATTATCATCGAATTTTAAACAAAACAGAAGACACATCTCTATGAGTACATAATGGTTTTAATAAACGCTAAAGTTGTAAAAACGCATTTTACTTCTGAGGCAGAGGGCAGACACATTTTTGTGTCCGCTTCGATAATCGATTTAATTTTAATATATCAATCACACTACTGTGCCTTACGAGACCGAAATTTCTGTGTCGTCGGGATTAATAGGGGGGTGTTAATAAAATTAAACACTTTTTTATTTATTTTATCTATTCTATGTGTGATAGATATTGTGTGTGTGTGTGTGTGTGTGTGATATAGTGATTTTTTATTAAATTGGTGACAAATGCTTAATCATATCTGGTGACAAATACCAGGGCGGCAGATCGAGAGAGGAGATCGCCGCGTCGCCAGCTGCCGAGTGTTTATCGCGGAATGTCATTCGATTCGATACTTCTTTATTTGTTCGCTTTTCGTCTTATCTTTGCTATTAATCTTTTGACAGTTGTTTGGTTCTGTTAACGTCTATATTGTTACGTCCGAAATAATTGTGTACTTAAATATCATTGAAAGTTATATTTTAAATAAACCTAACTATTGAACATTAGGGAAAAACATTCGAAATGCCTAGCTGCATATTTAAGTATATTATTTTTATACGTTTTACGACATAAAGAAACAATTAAAACTTGTGTAAATATGGCTTACAGATGGACGTTATCCGTAGTTTACGCGAACAGGTCGCATTTGAATATTAAATTTTTATCGAATCGAAAACTTAAAAAAAAATGGGGTGAGTAGTTAGGATTCGAGAGTTCTGGCTCACTCGTCGGGACTCGTCGCTGGGGGACCCCCCCCCCTAGCTGGCTGGGGTCTCAAATCGCGATCGCTGTGGAATCGCTGGGGGACCCCCCCTGGCTGGCTGGCTCGCAGTGGATTCGCAGTGGGGACCTATTCTATTTGGGAAGTATTGATATCAGCGCCATCTATTGACAGTTTTCGAAAAACTATCTACCTTACCGAGCCGTGGGTCACAACTCAGGAACACTAACTGACACGGTTATCTCCTTTTTAAAGATTTATAAACCGCATATTGCAAGGAAACAATATCGCGTTTTAGGATAATCTAAATAAAATAATTAAAGATTGTGTACACATTTATTACTTCATAATATTTTCAAAAACACCGACTTTTACTTGTATATCATTCCATTCCCGATTATGTTCATCAAAAAACATTATATAATCGTCAAGACTCTTTCCATGAACTTTAAAAAATATATAAAACAAACAGTACTCCCCACATACTGATGACCAATCGTCTTGCAAAACTCTTTTATTGTAGTTCCACATAGTACAGTTACGGTTCAGGAACAATCTGTGTGAACCTGAAGGTGCTCGGCCGAAAGAGTCAAAGTATTCACCGTGTCTGCTTTTATTTACGTGTATTGCTACCCAATGGGAACCTGGCTGTGTATCTGGGTCCAGATTGCTTATTAAATAAATAGGTAATTCCATATGAATGGGTAATCTGTTCGCGGCAAAAACATTGTTATGTAATACTGGATTTATTTTTGATAAGCAGTCCTGAAGCTGTAAGGTATTCATTTTTAAATTCCGTAGCTCTACAGTTCCGGATTGATCATAAAGTAATGGTGTGATTACGGAAATGCTATCCATTTATATAACATAAATGTAATAATAATAACACAGTTTGCAAACATCAATACTTTATTAAAAGTCTTATTATACTTAATCTAATACATTTGAGTCTTAACTGCTATAGTCTACGATTACATTACGATTTTTATCAATTTCAATGACATTATCAAACTCAGCATATACAATACAATTTATAGTTTCCGAAAGCGAGGATTCAAAACGAACTTCCAATCTCACACTACCATTTCTTATGAGGTTCCAGTGACTGGCGGAACTAGCTGATAAATCAGCAGTTAAATCAAAAGCCAGAAGACAGTAACCTTTAGAATATTGATCTCTAGATATACCATTCCCTTCGTTAAGAAAATGAATACCCGTTCCTGAGAACAGAGTATGATAAGCCGTCGTAAAAATGTTGTTCTCGAACGACGGCTGTAACGCCTTCGAAGGTATTTGCTGGCCATCCACGTATAAACAAAATGAACTGAGGTCGTAGTTTTCAAAATTAAATGGGTTCTTTGTGAGACAGCCGTTAAAAGCTGTGTTATTTACAAAACCAACTATACCTACTATATATCGTTTTGGTACTTGACCTAGAAATATATTATCGAGACTCTTTCCCTGAACTCCTGCTGGTATTGTTAGAACTTTTACTTCTGCTCGGGTTATGGGGTATTTAGCCGTTGTAGTTGACAAGACTTTTTGGTGTGCAAGTAAAACTGTTGGATTTATTCGAGCTCTACGAATAATAAGTGAAGCGTCTGTGATACATATTTTCAATTTTAGATCATTAGAAGCGGCCATTAAATTAAACGTTTCTCTAGATCTGACTAATTTTATTGACATTTCAACTCCATTTATTAAAAACTTTTCTTGATTAAACAAATCGCCGTGTAAATGTCCAATCATTTCCACTTCTTTGCTCTCTGATACAAAGGCCTGTCTCTTAACAAAACCCTTGTTATCATTATCAGTTGAATTCATTTTTCCGCAAGTATCTTCATACCAAAGGCCGCATGTTAAATGGGATTCCTTAGCTGCAGGACCATAGTTCAATAAAGTTTCTATATAGGAGCGATACGCATATGTATTGTTTGGGGGTGAGACAAGTTTTTGATTCAAATAAACATCCAATTGATTAAAAAGCGAATGCATCCAGTTATTGACAGGAGCCACCATAGTTGATGATATCAATTTGGATAGATCCTGGTTAATAATTTTAGCTTTTATGTGTATCATCGTATGTGATAAATCAATGTAATCGTCCCCAGCGCCTGGTACTTGAAATTCTATCGGCCCATCGTCGGCAAGAGATGAAATTGGTTTATAATGAATCCATATTCCACTTTCAATACTTGTTTGAGTTGAAGGTAAGGCAAATAAATCTAATTCTGACTTTATGCACTCACAAGAATGGCTGTGTAAAAATGACATTTTAAATTATTTTGTAAATATATCTTTCATTTGTAATTTATCGCACTTTAATGGCTTGGAAGCTTTCACTTTAGAAGTTGTTGGTGAAATGACTGCAGATCGCCTTTTTCTCTTTGTTATATAGCCAGAGCCAGACATGTTGATGCGATCGATTTTAGCATCAGCTTTTCTTTTTAAATTAGTTCCCACCTCTTTTAATCTTGTTTTTATAGATTCCTCCATTGGACGAGAACTAACCAAATCAGATAATAAACCGACACCTGCATTTAAGGCCTCTTTGCCAACAACACGAGCTCCACTAGATAGCAATGGCAAGACCGTCCTAAATAATCCTCCTAAAAAGCTTCCAATACCGTGACCGCGCTGATATGGAACACCTTTGTATATGACACCGATTCCTGATCCAGCTTGATGTGAGTAATAATGTTGATATGGACAAAGAAAGTTTTGATTATACATTATTATATTTTTTTAAAATGAAGTTTCACACACACTGTTCCAAACTGAAATGGTATTGCTTGTCCGGTACTTGATCTTATATCTATTTCGATTGTGTCAAACTCTCTTCTCATTACTGGTAAATAATGAGGTGGTGTGAATATATGCATTTTGTTTGCTCCATATATATATTTTGATGGATCAAGCGGTATTACTCTTAATAAAGGAGTCATGACGTCACCAACTATTTGTGGTTCGATAATATCGCAGTAAACAAATAATTGTGGAGGAAGTCCTAAATGCAAATTAGCCGGACATTTTCCTATGCCTTTTTCAACTAAATTTCTGTAGGGTTCATAGCCAAGTTGTAGAGATAATTGAGGCGATAACGATAACCTTTTTATGTTTTCATCTATGATAGTAACATTAACAAGTTTTGACAGGTCATCATATCGAAACCTGATATTTTCTTTTATATTATTTAATGCACTTACAATGTGATTAATGTTGTCATAATTTGTAGCAGGAATGTGTGCTTTGTAATGTACTGTTGAAGATTCAGATTCATTTGGCATCTTTACTATCTTTGTAATATAAACAATATTTTCGTGTTCTTGAACTGTATACATAGTACAAGGATATTGAAACTCGACAATTCCCACATGCCATGTTCCTTCAAGTACTATTGATTTTGGTAATTTAGTTGAAAAGCGAGTAGTTAAATTATCCGGAAAATATTCCTTAGAACTATTACTAAGCAAAGTTAGATAAAAACTTTCTTTCATATTTAAAATGTATTTATCGACGAAGCCAAAATCCAACTATTAAATTTATGTGGATATCCTTTCCACTTGACAAACACTTCTTTTCTGTCCCCTGATCCACGAGAGCGTATTATTTTATCAATTTTAAAACTTAAAGTGGGGTTATATGACACCTTTTGTAATTCTTTCTCATAAAACGTGCCTTCGATTGGTTCGTTTTGTAAATCTCTCAATGTATATACAATCCATGGTGACCGGTGAACTACAGATGACACAACAAATATTTCATCACTCCAATTCGATTCATAACCTTTTGCGAATACATGTTTATATTTAGTTATTCTAACGTAATCACCTATATTAAATTTCGGTACTTTAGCAGTTAATACATCTATTGACTTCCCGTATAAGTTGTCCCAAACAGTTTTAATATTACTAGAGTTAACGTCTCTCGGACACATTTTTATACTGGTGTGATAACTGTTATTATAAGCGTACAATAAATCCTGTAAAATATCAATATATCTGTAGGTGTTCTTGTGGGTAAAGTAACGCCACATTTTTGTTTTTAGTGTCCTTTGAAACCTCTCCACAATACTTGCTTTGATATCGGGGTTGTTTGTTGTATAGTAATTAATATTCCTAGTGTTTAAATATTTGCGTACATACTTTGAAACGAACTCTGTGCCCTTGTCAGATTGTAGATGAGTAGGAGTAGCATTTGCTTCTTCAAATATAGACTCAAAACAATTTTTAATAGTTTCAGAATTTTTATTTTTCATAGGTCTTGCATATGCATACTTAGAAAATACATCAATAACACAAAGTATGTAATTATAGCCATCATTGTGTTTGGAATAAGTTCTCATATCGCTTAAATCTGCTTGCCAAAGTTCATTAAAGTTTGATAAAATATATTTGTTTCGTGGAAATCGTTTTTGTATCGGTTTATGAAGAGTATAAGTTTCTTGAGACTGCAGCCAGCCCTTAACATCAGCTTTTGTCATTTTACCTTTCATTGCTTTTGTTAATGTATCTACACTACTAAATCCTGCTGGGTGAGATGGATCATAATATATTTCATTTATGGAATTTAAATTATTTGTGTTTAGTATGGATTCCATTTCTCCCAGGAAAATTTCTTACGACTTATTTTAGTTGTAGTAGGAGTAGAATATTCCTCGTCGGTTGACAACTCGTCTAAATCTTTTAACGTTAGATTTTTTATGAAATCAATGCGTTGTGCATTTCCCAAATACGTGAGTGGAATTTTTAAGTCTTTCAAAGCAGTCGCAAAGTCCTCCCAACCAATCGGGTTATTATTTTTCAAAGGTCTTAGCAAATCATTAATTAAATCCACAATATTACTACCCGGAATTGTTTTTCCATCTATCATCACTAAACCATTATCTTCATTCCAATTCACTTTGTTCTTACTTAGTGATAATATATTTAAAATTGATTCACCCTTTTTGCAGTAACTTTTTGGAATCAAACTTAAAATTTGACTTTGATTGTAAATAGGATATTTTGTAGGTGCTGTATCCTGTGTTTCTTTCTCCGGTATTTGTAACACTGGAGCAGGATCTTGTGTTTCATCCTTTATATCTGCTTTTGTAATATTATCATTTTGAAAAATTACTGGCACTTCAATGGGGCGACGATTTTCTTCATTAAAATGTAAGTATCTTTGAAGAACTTGTAAATACAAAATACATTTTTTTCTATCATCAAGTTTGCTACTTAATATTTTTTTCATTTCTGCATCCAATCGAGAAGTTGGATTGTCTGATGTATTGCAACTATTTATTTTTTCTATTAAATGTGGTTCAATGAGAACCATTCTCTTAGCATGTTCCATCTTGTAATTTATTTTACTATAATTCCAAGCAATGCACTCAAAATAGAACCAAGTATTATCGGTAAAAATGCACCACCTTTTTGAATTATGATATTTTTCCGTACTTTATCCGAGCATTTGCGAACTATCTTACGAAGAACAGATTTATATTTACTTAATTTTTTCTTATCTTTATGCTCAATGGGTATTTTTCCTTGCAACACGTTATAAATACATTCACAAATACAATTTATTTCTTCTTTGTCACAGGATTTTAAAAGTGCTATTCTATACTTTGGTTTTAATTTATGAAGAGCCGAGAGCAAATCTTTATGCGTGCTTAAACTTCGATGCATTATTTGTAAATGACGGGAATTTCCTGGTTCTTAGCATATTTAAACCCCTTCGTTGGCACGTACACATGACAAAACTCATGTGATAAAGAGAATATATTTGTTTTTATTCGACATAAATCAGCGGTATTTTGTTTTAAATCAATCATCAAGTACCCATAAGCTTCTTTAGTGGCATCCCTGTAGGCTTCTTCAATAAACTTAGGATTTTCTGGAGATACCTGACGTGCCAAGTACCTAATCTGTGTTTTATCTCTGGGATTTTTAAAATAGATGATGTAACTTGAGTTCAACGAAATATCTCTTTGTCCTTTTCCTTGATGAAATAAATTTTGCGTAATATAAAAAACACTTAAGTTCCTGTGATGACTTCCTTTGGTGAATATATCTACAATCCTACCATCAGTTTCTCTCATAAGGTCATCTAATATTACTAGATTTGGCTCCCTACCATCAAACATGTTCAAATCTGGAATACCTTGACAGTAATTGACATTTTCTAAGTTATATATCGGTTGCATTTCATCAAAGCACCATGTAATTTGGGCGAAATTTTTATTGCAAAGATGTTTCATATTTTGAATAAAATTTGTAACAAAATTTGTTTTACCGCAACCACTCGGGCCTGCAACTATAGCAGTAAAAGGATGTGTAAAGTGAAACATTTTGCACGACATGCTTAATCAGAAGTTTAAAAGGAAATAAATTAAACTCTTTGTTAGATCTCTATATATTTTTTTATCGTTAACAAATTTATGTCTAAACAATTTACAAACAATCATTACTTATCTATTATTTACAATTCCTTACAACTACTAAATTACAAATTTCATCATAAGACAAACAAGTTTTATTTAGTTTTTGAGTAAAGACGGTACGTTTGATTGATCTAAACCTATCGGAAACCACAACGCTTCTTAAATTAGTGTTTAAATCAATGTATTTTTCAACCAGGGACTTCGACGAAACTTTAATATCCTATGAATTTTGATTAGTTTAATACCCATTTTTAAATATTGTTTTAAATTTCTGTAATGAATAATGTTCATGTCAAAATTTTCTAAATATTTATTATTAGATTTAGCATATCTGTTGCTGCACTGAGATATGCCACCTCTTATTTTATCACCGCTTTAATAAAAGCGATTTGATCAATATCAGTTAACAATTCCAGTTGTTGTTGAAAACTGTTTTTTTACAAGAATCCAACGATGATATTTCCTTACTTATGTTATATATAACTTGTTTTACCGTATTTAAATGAGAGCTTGTATCTTTGGCATAATATTTAGTCCTTATTTTAGCATGTTTCCATTGCTGATTTTTAGGTATATTTGATATTGCTTTCAAGTCATACAATTCGATTTTAAGTAAGTAAGTGGCTGTTAATATATCATTTTGATTCGTTGTTATAAATGCAACACATCCATTAGGTTGAGCCCGTGAAACCGATGAACACTCTGTTGGCTTTTTCTTACTTGGGCTCGAAAAATTGAAAATTTCATCAAAATTTTCATCTTGGGTAGATTTTCTTTTCACAGCTTTCCTCTCGATTATTAATTCGTTACTAGTTTCATCATCAGATAGTAGCATGGGGTAATAATATTGCTTGAAAGTGTTTTCTTCGAGATTAGAAGGCTAGAAAAAACTTTAAAATTAGTTTCAAATATTAGCAAAACAATTAAAGAACTTTATTAACTTTTTAAGGAATACGAGTGAAACTTACCTCCATTTCTTGCTATCCAAAATTATTTAAAACAGAAACCTTATTCACACACGAAATATTTCAACTGTTTTCTAAAGAGCTCCTGCCTTCTTATATATCCCAAGGAATAAAAGATGTCTCGTTAGTTTATCAAACAAATAACATTAATGACAAGTAAGTGTAATTACTTATTTATTTGCTTTTCTTTTTGGGACAATTACCAAAACGATGTATAGTTGGTTTTGTAAATAACACAGCTTTTAACGGCTGTCTCACAAAGAACCCATTTAATTTTGAAAACTACGACCTCAGTTCATTTTGTTTATACGTGGATGGCCAGCAAATACCTTCGAAGGCGT